CAGCGAGCGCACTCCAACCCCATCTTCAAAAAAAAAAAAAAAAAAATCCTGGGATGTTTTTTGGCTCGTCTGGTTTTGCCGGGCGGACCCCCCCAGTCCGTCTGGCCCGGTCCGTCTGGACCGGGCGTCGGCTTAACCCAGGTTTTTTTTCGCTTTTTTAACTTTTTTTTTTTTTTTTTTTTGCTGGGCCCTTCGCTGGTTCTCGCACGGCCGGGCCACCCAGTGAAACAAAGGTGACCCGGGCGGCCCGGCAGCTAGCCCAGATTTGTAGGTAAATTCACCCTTACAGCATTGCACCCCACAATGCTTTGTGACGGTGCGCACAAGGAAAAAATCCACACATGGCTTTAATGATTTAATCCTTTAGATCCGCAGCAAGGAGACGTCACAAACAAAAAGCACCAATCAAAAACAAAAACAAAAAGAGAGAGAGGGAGAGAGGGAGGGAGGGAGAACAGAGAGAGGGGAGAGAGGTAGGGAGGGAGGGAGAACAGAGAGAGAGAGAGAAACAAAAGACAAGAGGGAAAACATGGAAAGTGGAAGAAGGTCGCATGACAACAACAAAAATGACAGAGGATCATTACACTGATTACAGCCTTGATCTTATGGTATTCAAATTTCAAAATATTATTCCATTATTTATATTTGTTGATCTACTATCTTGTACATGTGTACTTTTGTACTCTGTACCTGAGTGTACATGAGCTGTTTTTGGAATTTGCTTGTGTACTTCTATCATTTCATCAGTACACTTCTGAAGTGTGAGGATTGAGCCCTCAAAGGGGCCTTGCCGACATGCATATGTTCTGGGCATAGGCCCCCAGCAAGCCTCGTGCCCGCCCTAAGTGAAGGCGGGCCAGCCATGTGACCGGCCTAAGTGAAGGCAGGTCAGAATATCCACAAACAGGCCTTTCTTTCAACATTTTTGTAAAGTGGGTATCCAACAGTTGCAGCACGCCAGTTGGTTGGAGTGCATCGTGGAACCCAGACTCCTGCGAGAAGCAGTTAAGCCCAGGGCCTCAGTTGGTTGAGCCCTGGGCAGAGGCCAGGGGAGGCCGACACATCACACATTGGACGCTGGCCAATCGGAAAGCAGCATTGCCGTCGTAGAGGCTGAGCAGACCAATGGGAAACCGGAAAGGGTCTGCATCTGGACGACAGCCCTGGCACAAGGGGCGCAACTGTACTTCCTGGGCCACATCTGTGTTGGGCCTGGGCGCAGGTACTGGGACCCAGGCGCAGGCTCAAGGCAGGCCGCCCACACACAGCAAGGCATATAGGCAGATTGTGCGAGTGGGCAGGCATCTTGGCCATTGCGAGCAAGGCCGGCACGCTGCTGCATTGTGAGTGTGCCTGCGCTGCGCTAGGCTGAGGGAGAGCATGCTGGCGCTAAGCGGTAGAGCGCAGCCTGGGCACAGGGCGCTGGCGGCCATAGCCGGGCTGCCTGTGGGCGCAGAGAGGGTGAAGGGCGAAGGTGGTTCTTCGGAGGTGAAGGGCGCTGTGTGGGATAACAAGGGAGAGTGAGGGAGAAGAGAAAGACGTACCTGGTGGAGAGGAGGTCTGCATTGGTGTTGACATCATCACTCGCTGGTCGTCAAGTTGTCTGGTTGCTTTCATGCTGTAGTTGTAGTGATAGGCTGTAGAGTAGGTAGGGTGCCTGGCGCCATTCAAGAGAGAGAGCTACATTGGGTTATGCTGTTGCTGTTGCCCGATTGGGCTTGGACATTGACTCACGATTCTTCTGTATCGTTCTCAAATGGATGGTTACTCGGYTCCATTGTRCTATYTRCTMTTGCTTTGACTACTTGGACTTCAGTGTGATTTTGCAATCTGGATTTCTGTGCTTCGTCCACATTCATGTTCCTTGCAGAAGGCACTTGTGAACCCGCTGGAAGACGCTGGGTGAGAGTGAGCACGTTTTGTGGGGCGATATTTGGAGTTAAATTTGGAGTTAAGTTTGGACTTGAGCTTGGAGTTAAGCTTTCTAAGCTTTGAAACTGTTACCTGAGTTACACGAGCTACAGCTCCGGAGGATGCATCTGAACGATATGCATGGGCTGATTCATTGTGCATAACTACATCAAGCAGCGGCGGACTAGCCACGAAGGACTGCTACTACTATCAAGCAACCGTTGTCTTGGTTTTGGTGCACGGACCGTTGGTCACTTTTGACGGTACCTGGAGCAGTCTTATTCGAAGGCGACGAGTTTAAGGAGTGCATTGGATCTCAACTATGTCGGGATCCAATTCTCAGGATTATGGGTGCAACAACCGCCGGGATCGATACAACGAGCGTGGCCGTGATGAGGGACATGATGGAGGATGTGACCAATCTGGCGATGGGCGACGGGATCGGGTGGGCCACTATGGTAGTTCCAGCCAACCGGACAGGAGCCGTGATCCGCCACGGCGCTTCGTAGCGGTGTGCTATGAATGCGGCAAATCGGGGCACTATCGGAATCAGTGCCCAAAGCTGGGAGGTGAAGTCTGCTCAAGGGACATTAGACAACGACATCAAGCACGCCATCATGAGCAGCGGGCAACCTCCGAGGATCCAGCAATCCGAAAGACGGTGGAGGAACTCGTCACCTCGGTAGCTACGATGAAAGAGTTCATCGACACAGAAAGCGCGAGGAAAGAGCAGAAAGCCAAACGTAAAGCTGAGAAGCACGAACGTAAGAAGAGGGAGGAGGAGGAGCGACGGGCTGCGGAAGAGGCACGTATAGCAGAAGTACGCCGTGCAATGAAGGAGGAGAAACTCAAGAGGGACGAAAAGAAGAGGGAACGAATGAGAAAGGAGATGAACATGGAGATATCGTTGCACATGGGCGATATTCGGGATGCTCTGCGATATGGACGTGACCACGAAAATCGAGAGCAAGCTAAGGGAAAGCAGAAAGTGGAGACCTATTCGTCCGATGAGGAGTATCAAGATTCGTATGAGAGTGATTTCGAAGCTCTCAGCAGCAAGACTGAAAACCTCGTTATTACCAAGAAGTGTAAGCGGAGCACTGAGAAACCGGTGGGGGACAGCCCACCGATGGAGTCACCAGCTAAACGGACGGCTGACAGGTGGTTTCAGTTAGGCTGTCGACATTCAGCTATGAAGAAGTCTCCCCAGCACAGGACCCCTGCACCGAGGTCCACGAGGAGGAAGATTCCCACAGCACCGGGATCGGTGGGTAAGTTGAAGTTCATCACTGACAACCTACAGGCACTCGCTAATCTCAATGCAGACGAGCTTAGGCATATGTGCTTGGCGGAGGATGTGCAGTATGAAGGAAAAAAGATGCAAGCCATTTTGGCTATCACAGAGAAACGCACACAGGTAGTGTATAGCGAAGAGGACAAACATGATGCAACGGACATGGGAACCGACGACGTTCCCGGGGAGGACGCGAGGACTAGCGATGACGAAGGGGAAGATGAATCGTGAACAATGAGTAAGTTGTGGGCATTATGTCGATGTCTTATCGATCTTCGTAGGAGTGCTGACAATAACGAAACGGTGGATTTGGTGTATTGCTTGGTCATTATTACACTTGCAATCGACGGTCAAATTCGTTGGTTAAGTAAATGTGTCGATTCCTGGGTTAACCTGTATAGGAAGTATCGACTGCGTTGTTTTACGGAGGTTGATAGTTGCGTTTACGTTCTCTCTTCTCCATTGTGTCGGGCCCCATATGTCGGGCAAACTGGTAGATGTGGTAAAGTGCGCTGGAAGGAGCACATTTCTGTCCGTAAACGTGGTCAGAAGAACCACCACCTCTATAGATGGTGGAGGGTGTTTGGACATGAGTCCTACGTGCTTTTACCCGTGGATCGCTGTTTGCATACTGAGCTGACGCTAATGGAAAGTGCGGTTATGCGTCGTTGGTGTCCAATTTTAAACACCACGGGTAAGGGATCTACGAGAATAGGTAATCAACGTAGGCGGAAAGGGAGACACGAAAGGCAGAGAGCGGGAAACGGGGGGGCAGCAGGACACCAATTGCAAGCTGTCATACCAGTTCGAACTAGGATTAGTGAATCAGAGGAATGGAGTGTTAACATTTTTCAGATCTTATCAAAGCATGAGTCGTCTGGTAAGTGTAAGCTCATGTTGCATGTAAGCGGGGGAAGCTGCGGAGGCTGGCAGTTGATTAGATCAGCCTTCGGGAAGTCTGAGGTTAAGGTCAACGGGAGACGCTGCAAATTGTTTGAATGGAAGCAGGAACTGGAGCAAGGCCCAGGCCTGGAAATCTTGCACGTAAGAAGATTGACGCCAAAGATCAACACTGACAAGAACTTCCTTGTTTCAATCCTACGGAACCTTCAACGCACCAAAGCTTTGCAGCACTGCAGCCTTGAGGCCCTGATCAGGCTTATGGCAGCGGCCCAGGACTTCCAAAAACCAGCGACGACTGCCTACCTACGACGACTCATAAATCGGACGATCGAGGACGCGTTTGGTTGGAACGTTAATGCTAAGTTGACAGTAAGACTGAAATTTGATGATAGGATCCTTGGCGTGGAGGTGAGGAAGCTTCTAAATGACGGGGTCGAGGGAATGGATATCCCTATCTGTGTGAAGAATGCTGAGCGAAACGGGGTACGAATTGTCTGGGTTAAAAACCCGTCGGTTGCGGACCTCTTACACAATCAGCGGGCATTTGCCCGTGCTGATGTGTCAACCTGCCCTTGTGCAGGCTTACCCTATCCACGGATAGGCAGACACGTGCAGGTTCGACTGCAGGAACTGGATGACGTACATCCCCTTATTGGGAATGCGAACAATGTACCAAAACTTGCTCACCCTGACCGTGGTAGGCTGCTGATGGAGGAGATCGTCAGTGGGCTGGTAGGGTGGACAAATTTCCGTGGACCGAAACCATTGGTTAGGAGATTGCATGTGGAGGCATGTATGACTGCTGTTCCGAATCATGAGACGAAGTTCTTTGATGTGATGGAGGTGCATCGGGTGAATAGGAAGCTGGATGGTATGGTGCTGACACCTTTGGATAGGAACCCTCGTGAGACCTTGGTATTGTGTCCCAAGGTGTACTATGAGGCGACGATGAGTATGTGTGTAGCGAGTTCCGGCTACGTGGTTATTAAAGCGCAGGAGGAGGAGGTTAAGCAGTTAATGGATGGATGCTAAGCAGGCGGGCTTAACACAGGTCGTGCGATGGGATAGGAAAGGTAAGATCGGGGAGGCCTATGTTATGCCGAAACATAAGGACCTCACCCGCTATCGGCCGATATGCCCGAGGCCCGACCATACTTGCAAGCGCACGTCGTGCGGGCGGTTCCCTACGTGCGGCGCACGTACCCAACCGATCCCGTGCGGCGCATGACGTGTGCGCGGAACGACCCGTCAACCCCCTCAGAAAGAAAAAAAAGGCCGGGGTCGAAATGGTGCGTTTGAGGCCCCCCGCCAAAATTATCAGCAAGATTGAAAAAAAAAATACAGGAGTACTGCCTCACCTTGCTCCTCCCCTTCCTCATCCTCCATGTCTCCGCCTCCCTTCTCCTTTTCATCTCCTTTGACTCGTCCTCCTCCTGTTCGTCCTCCTCCTTCTGCCCTTCCTCATCCTCCTTGTCTCCTCCTCCTCCTCGTACTTCCTCATCTTCCATGCCTCCTCGTCTCCTTCCCTTCCTCGTGTCCTCCCCTTCCTCGTGTCCTCCCCTTCCTCGTGTCCTCCCCTTCCTCGTCATCCATGTCTCCTCCTCCTCCCACTCGTCCTCCTCCTCCTGCCCTTCCTCTTTTCCCTCTGTCCATCTCTTCTCCTCCCCTTCCTCAAACGGTGGCACCACTTTCTTCTCGATCGTCGGCGTTTTACATGGAACACGGACAACAATCCGTTGACCTTCTACAAAGCGCAGGACACAGTCACTAGCACGATCGGTCGATGGATGTATTACATCGACCAGTTCGACTTTGAGCCGTGCCACATTCCTGGTCCCGCCAATCGAGCAGCGGACGCCCTCTCACGACGGCCCGGTCTATGTGCCCTCGTCACTACGACATTCCAACTCGACGACGATCTGCAACAGCATTTCATCAAAGGCTACAAGTCTGATCCGACTTACTCTACGCTTTATGCAGCGCTCTCATCGGATCACCCGCCGGCTGGTCATTATCGTATCTCCGACAAGTTCCTACTCCTCCACACGAGAGGAAAGGACTTGTTAGTGGTGCCCCAAGATCGCATCTTACGGACTCGTCTTCTCGACGAATTCCACGACGCACGACTTTCGGCACACCTTGGCGTGACCCGCACATTGGCCCGCCTCCGCCAGCGTTTTCACTGGTCGGACGTTCTTCACAACATCACGAGGTATATTGAGTCATGTGCAGTTTGCCATTGTAACAAAGGTAGATCTCAGGTCCCTTATGGCGAATTGAAACCGATGCCGATTCCTCGGGCACCTCGCCTCTCCATTGCTATGGATGTTACAGGCCCGTTCCCCCGCGATCGCCTCGGTCATGACGGCATCCTCAAGGTCGTTGACCGTTTGAGCAAGTACGCTCGTTTTCTCCCATGCAAGTGTCGTGCTACATCTCCCAAGCTCGCCCGACTCTTGCACACCGGTTGGATTACATGCCACGGTGTTCCGGAAGATATTGTGAGCGACAGAGACACTCGCTTTATGTCCGCCTTCTGGACTTCCCTCATGACGGAGTCCGGTTCGACTATGAAGCCGAGTTCCACACGGCACCCGCAGACGGATGGACAGTCGGAACGAGCGCATCAAACCGCTCAAATAATGTTACGTACACTCATCCGTCCTGACCAGAAATATTGGGTTGACCGGCTTCCCGACATTGAGTTCGCCTATAACACTTCGGTGCACCCGGCGATCTGCATCACTCCATTCGAGTTGCATCACGGTGGAGAGAAAGCCCGAGTCTTTGCCGATCTTCTTCTACCACGGGCCGCCGACATAGACGTCGCTTGCTCTCCCGCTTCCGTTCGGAAGTACCGGGAATTGCTGATCAAAGCCCGCGCAAACATGCAAAAGGCTCAAATCTGCATGCAGCAGCAAGCTAACCGACGTCGACTCCCATGTCCTTTCCGCGAGGGAGACCTTGTTTGGGTCCTCGCTGAGGAATTCGCGCTCGAGCAGGACGTCTCGCGCAAACTCCTCCCAAAATGGTTTGGACCATGGAAGGTAGTTTCTGCAACCGGCGACGACCCTGCAGGTCCTTCCTTTGTGATTGTCATCCCACCGCACCTCCATGTGCACCCGGTCTTCCATGCGTTGAAGCTGGCCGTCTACACGCCACCTTCCGAGGATGAGTTTCCGGGCCGACGATCACAAGATCCGCCCTCTATGGACGGACACCAGGAAGTCGACCGTGTCCTCAGGCACCGCAAGTTTGGCAACAAGCCAATGCAATACGAAGTCACATTCAAGCAATGTGCCCCGGATGACACTCGTTGGATCTCCCACGCAGACTTACAAGCATTTGCACCACTCATATTCTCCGACTACGAGAACCAGCGACTCACCAAGGACAACGCTCATCCCACCCGACCCACCCAGGTATCGGACAGACAACTTCGCCCTCGCAGGTAGCTCGGTCTTTTAAGGGCGGGAGTGTGTTACATTCTGCGATTCCACACGGGCCTTCACAGGCCCGACATACCGGTTCAGGGGGTACCCAGGCCGGCCTCACCAAAGGCCAGGCCTTTTTCTCCCGGTAGGCCCTGTTAGGCCACCAGTTGGCGCCACAGCACCCAGCAGACCTGGGTTGGCCCAAACGACATGACCGTTTGGGCCTGGCGGCGCTCTTGAGGCTGCCGCCCGCCGGTCTGAGCTGAACGGTCATTTCGACGGTTCAGCCCACGGCGCAGGAGGCCAGCATCGAGGCCGAGCGGCCGCCGGATGGTACTTAGGCCGGTCCAGCGGCCATTCCCGGAGCCTGGAGCAGCGACACATTGGAGGAGCGCTGCGCTATTCTGTTTAGAGTGCAGCGCTAGAGGCAGCAGCACGAGGTTTAGCGCTGGACTGCACAGGGATAGAGAGTGGGAGGTACTTACCTGGCGCTTACCTGTGGTGCCATAGTCCCAGCTTGAAGGAGGTTTTCAACGGCTCTAGCGCGCACCTGCAGGTAAGGCCTAGGGCCAGGGACAGGGCAGCGAGGATTCTCCTCCTCCCTACCTCACCATCTCCCCTCCTCCTCTGCCACCTATTCTTCGTCTCCTTCAGACTTCTTCTTCTTCTTCTTCTTCTTCTTCTTCTTCTTCTTCTTCTTCTTCGTCTTCAGACTTCTTCTTCTTCAGATTGGACACTTTGGTGCGAGTTGGACAGAGATCAGTGTTTGGACTTCGGTGGTAAGAGGCTGTTACTTCTTGTTTGTTTTGCTCTGTGTATTTGTTTTGTTGTTGAGTTGTTCTCGGAATCCAACCATATAAGACCCGGTTTTCAGTATGATGTTGACTGCATCTCGTCTAGTTTAGATTAGGTGGTAATGGGTAGCCGACAAGGACCAGTTTTTTCGTTTTGTTTGTCTTGTTCGTTTTGTTTCGTTCAGCAGATTCGACCTTATTAGATGTAGCGATAGGGCGGTAATTGATGCTGAATTGGTTAGTTAGTTTGTCAGTTTTTGGTATACCTGTGTGCTTGGCCGACGCAGGGCCTCGATCCCTGTATTTCCAAGTACCGAACGTTTTGTGGGGTTTCCAGCGATTTAGGACCTTTGGGCCTGGTACTCGGGTAGGTTCCTGCATGGAGCCAAGTCCAGTACGGAACAGGACGGATGGGCCTTTAGGAACTCATGGGCCTTTAGGGACTGTTGTTTAGAATAGGCAACGATTTGTCCTAGCATAGCGTTTGACTCCCGGATTTTCCATCTTCGGCATTAGGCGAACCATAGCGGACACCTATAAGAGCTATGATTGCAGTTTGTTTGGTCTTTCCGGGTCCAACTTTGAGTCACCCCGCTGTCGTTTCCGGAGATGATACCGGGTTGACGATGGAGGAGGGTAAGTGGAATGTAGGCGTGTATTAAGGGACGGTGTCTGGTGGTAATCCCCCTGAAGAGGACAGTGTGGCGGCAGTCGAAACCGGTCGGGGTAGCCAATCCCACCGGCATGCAATCATTGTACATGTGTACTTTTGTACTCTGTACCTGACTGTGCATGAGCTGTTTTTGGAATTTGCTTGTGTACTTCTACCATTTCATCAGCAAACTACTATATTGTCACAAACCTATGAATTAAAATAGCTCACTTTGTGAAACAAACGACAAAAATACACAGCACAAACACGAAGAGCACACTGAAACCAGCCATTCCTTTTTTGTATCATTCAAGTGAGCTCTTTTAGTTCATAGATTTGTGACAATACTGCATGCATATAATATTTAAACCACCACTTCACCGCCCCCTGCACTATTCAGTTTTCTTGTCTACAAGTACCGGTCCAAAATCCACAGCGCCTAGTAGGCCCAATAGAGGTTCGATGGGGAGCGATACCACAGTTATTTTTCCTCATAGCGGCACTCCATAGATTTCAGGCTCGTGACCAACCGGCGTAGAGGGCTGAAGAAACCAGTCCCCAAAGAACTGTGGAAAGACAGACCCGAGTTCGAATCCTGATACAATCAGATGCCCAGAGTCAAATCACTTTGAAATTTGAATTACCTGGGGCCGGTCAGTTCAATGACGATATCTCAAGGTCGTGACACTTATAAAAATAATAGAACATAATAAGAAGAAGATTTAAAGCAAAAAAGAGAAAAAGAAGAAGAAGAAGATTTAAGGCTCGAGGAAATGCAAGTATTGGTTTGTCAAGTGAGGTCTGGGTGGAGTGTTGGGTTAAGTAATTCAGTGTGTAGCCATGGACGTCGGTAATCACCAGATTAACCACTAAAATGATGAGGACTTGCAGCTTTGATCTTATTGTACTTCAAATATTATAGTTTATATTTTTTAGCACTTTTTTGTTGTTGATTTGCAACGAGCTTGAAACTGAGAGCTTTCACAAACAAAACCTGGCATACGCCAACATTCGCAGTCCTGGAGGATATGGAATCGCTCAGATCACCATGCAAACTAGGGTTTCGGGTTCAGGGTTTAATGTCAGGGTTTAGGGTTTAGGGTTTAAGGTTTAGGATATAGGATTTAGGATTTAGGCCTCTGGGTTTAAGACCAGGGTTTGAGGTTTTGCCTTTGGGGTTAGGGTCAGGGTTCAGGATTTAGGGTTTGAGAACTTTAAGGTTTACAACATAGGATCTACGGTTTAGGGTTTAGGATTTGGGATGGCTTCGGTTTAGGGTTTCGAGTTTCAGGTTTAAGGTTTAGGGTTTAGGGTTTTCAAACTTCGCGTTTGCGATTTTACCTTCCAGGATCGCAAGGCATAGGATCTGTCCAGAAGTAGTCCGAGTCGAGAGCATCTTTGGCAGACAACCTCTACAATAAACAAAGCGCACACGAAGAGAGAAAATTTCAGAACAAAACTCTTATAACCCCGAAGACAGCTGAGATGGCACAATCGCTTACACTGAGCAAAGACACGCCACATTTCATCCGTCAAATTTTCCATAAACAGCCTCCCGTCCGCTCTCCGTCTCCTCCCCTCAAATCATACACTGTGACTTCAGAACCCATCGTTGGGAGCATTTGACACATCCAGCATGAGGTCGCGCAGCACTGAAATGTGAGGCTCCAGGCACAGGCGGGCCTGAGGGGGCCCCCCAAAAAAATGAGCCAGGCGGCCCTGAGTGAAGGAGGGTCTGAGGGAAGTGCAGCTAGGCCTGAGAAAGGCCGGCAGAGGATATTCTGGGTGTGAGAACCGGCGGCCAGCCCTGTAATTAACCCGTAGGCCCAGCCTCCAGTTAGTTACAGAGGCTGGGACCGGTAGGCCCAGCTGCGACCGGTACTCAGTCTCAGTAGTTTGCAGGGGTTGACAAAAGGAGGGAGGCTGCTAGGGGGAAGGAACATTGGGGCAGGCAGCACTTCTGGCAGCACAGCTGTGCCTTAGGCCGGAGAGCAGCGTGGGGAAGAGGAAACAGCTGTGGTGGCTGCTAGGTTGGCGCCGGCCATAGCTAGCGAGCGCTAGCAGGGAAGCAGTGTGGTGAAGTCTGGAATTCGTCAGGAAGAGAGGAAGGCGCTGGGGACTGGTCACAGTAGTTCTCACCTGGTGTTGGTGGAGGAAGCCTATGTGAGCAGAGTCTTCAAGCAGCATCCGGCAAGTGACACGTGGACACAGAGGGAGCTCTAGTGGGGCTAGCACGAATAGAGGTAGTAGAAGGTATGAGGATGAAGGCCACACAATGTAGTAGGGCTACTAAATTGTTATTGTATTGATGACTGGAGGTGAGAAGTCCGGCTTTCTTTATCAAGAGACTTCACTGTTTTGTTTTCTCGGAATTGCCATGCATTCAGCTTTGGTATTCGGCTTTCAACTAGGGTCAATCTTGCTGTGTCTTCTATGATATTTTGCATTCAGAATACTTGGTGTTCTCTTGCATGATTCCTTGCGGAATCTTTTGGTTTATCGATTGCAACAGTCCAGATTACAAAGAATGACAGCAGCAACGCTGAACTGTTTAAGACCATTCACACTCTGAAACTGCGTTAACCCCCATGCCAGGCTCAGTCCCAAAAGCTTACCATGTAACACTCTGCATGACGCTTGACTATAAGAATGGGACTGACCCTAGCATGGTAAGCTTTTGGGACTGAGCCTGGGACGCCGGCAGCGGGCCAGTTCAGAACATTCGATCCAATCCAGGCCGCACCTGTTTTGTGAAAGGAAACAGCGAATGATCCAATTTAGGATTGAAATGAGTGCAGAGTTGGCAGTGTTTGTGTGTGGTTAAGTGCCAAGCGCCCACTCACCCATCTTCCTTCCCTAAAGGGGCGCACTTGTGCATACGAAAAACGGGCGGAGGAATAAACGGTATGCTCTGCCATAGGCCAGTATATCCCATCAATTGGCACCGAACAGAGTCCAACCCACAAAAGGCATCCCAAAGCCAAGGCCTGATGGTCCTACCTTGCTAGCATATAAGCACTGCCCCTCCTCAATCAACCAAAAAGCACCACATACGGGTGGACAGTTTGCGCTGGCACCGTCTTCCCTGCTGGAAGAAACAAATTCTGGCAGCAAATAAAACGCAGGTTTGCCACCAACTGCAAGTGGCCTAGCTCAGTTAGTACACCTACGAGCTGTTGAAATGAAGACCTGAGTTCGAATTCCAATCGAATCTGACGAGTGAAAATAAATCTGAACTTACCTGGGGCTGGTCAGCTCAAAGAGGATATCTCAAGGCCATCACGATTTCAAAGAAAGAAATGTGTTTTTCCAACTTTTTCTTTTTCTTTTTCGCTCTTTTTGCCTCACTGCTGCTACCAGTAGGCCCACAACTTCAAACCACCAGTGCCTTGGCTGCTCCGAAATTCAGACAACAGGTATGGTGAGGAAGTGGAAACAATTCTGGCCTTAACAGTAGCAGCAGGGAGCGAAAAATGTGAAAACAAAAGTGAAAAGTTTTCAATGCTGAAAGTGTGTTGGTTTGTGTGTATATGCTGTGTAGTACTGTGTAGCAGCCGGAGTTTGTAAGGCTATCAGGCCACAGTTCTTTCTCTTTTGCCCCTGGAAAACTCACGCATCAGGACAGGCATCCGGAAGGCATCTGGACAGGCATCCAGACATGTCCGGGTTTTCCGGAAGTGTGTGTTGATTTGTGTGCATATGCTGTGTAGTACTGTGTAGCAGCTGTATGTCCGTATTTTCTGGAATATTCCAGTTTTCCGGTTGTCCTGATACTACTGGGAGGTTCGGCATCCGGTGTCCGGATCTGGTCCAGTGTCCGCACCGGCGTAGACATGGACCAGAGAGATCTGGTAAAGGCTACTCATAGCCGTTTGATTTTACGAAAAAGTTCGAAGTTCTTTGGAGTCGATAGGAGACCTGATTTAGTTGAGGACAAGTTGAAGTTCTTGGAAGTGCGAACCCAATTTTTTAATGGCAGACTGGCAGTTGTGATTTTTGTAAGCTCAGATTTAGTCTTCAGCCTGATACAGTTCTCAGGGCATACTCACACTAGGACTTCTTTTCTACTAAGCTCTGGACGTGATTGCAGTCAGATTCATTCATCCAGGTCTGGCTGTAATTGCAGTTAGATACATTAAGGAGAATCCTAGTGTCGGTACACCCTCGCTCAAAAGATATTTTATTATTTTGCCAAGTTTCTTGCTTTTTCAAGTTTTTCTCATTTTCAGACCTTGCTTTTTTTTTCTGTTATCCTTAGCTTGTTCTACCATAACACTGATTTACGACGAATTTTAGTATTATTTTACGTAAACGAGCCAAACACACTAACACAGAGAAGTAGTTGCACGAGGGCGAGTTGGATACAATACCCAGATGTGAGGGACGAGGATAACAGCAAGACAATATAACATATTATATACAATATATATATAATATATTAATAATCATTTTATTTTATTTTTCACCTTTTTCGGATCCAGCGTCAACAGCTTTTCGACCAGCTTCAGCGCTGAAGGATGGAAACTGACATCAACAGCCAACCGCAAAAGAAAAAAAAACAAAAAAAAAAACATCAACACATTGAACTTCTTCTGAGTACTTTGCTCTTCTCGTGACATCAAAAACGACAGTGGCAAAAAAAGGGGAGATTTTGTTTTTGAATCCAGCAGACATCCATTTGTTTGTTCAAAAGCTTTCCATGGTTAGAAACAAATCTCTATAGTTGGGAAAAACTGTCAAAAACAACAACAACAACAACGACGACGACAATAACAGCAACTCTATAATAGTCTCATATTGTACGCCAAATAGTTAAAACAGGGTGAAGCCGCAGGCACCAGAGACAGTCTTAGCCCTGTGTTCCTGAGCAGCACAAATCCATTCTTGTCAGTGACTCAAAACACTTCTCATCACAACCAGCATAGAGATAGACGGCTGGCGGAAGAGGGATTCGAACCGCCAACATGAAGAACGACTGTTGCACAAAGTATTATCAAAAGAGCACATACATACCGTCACAACAGTCACGCTTTTAATCACGTACACAACGAGAAAACTGACACACACACACACACACACACACACATGTGTGTGTGTGTGTGTGCGCACGCGCGCGCACACACACACACACATGAGCCTTGTACATGAGAGGCACAGTAAAAGGGGAGCTGAAAGAATAAATGAAGGCCGAAGTGGACACAGTTAAGAAAGGGATTAAATTTTTTTTTTTTTTAAACGCTTCTATTATGCTCCATGTTGCTTGCTATAGATGTAAAACTGTTTCATTGATGGATTGCCTCAACTCAAGTGTTTTCATTGTCTGCAGTAGGACTAAAGATGCTTCGATTTTGGATCTACTCATCTGGATGGAATAGGGGCTTTTGTGGTGAAAATTCAAAACACACACACACACACACACACACACACACACACACACACACACACACACACACACACACACACACACACAAACACAAACACACTCACACACACACACACACACCCCAAAACCTTTTTGCTACTCAGCTACCCATGTCGCACCGATGTAATAGCTCAACCGATCGGTGCCACATCACATGAAGAACACAAGTATTCACAGCCAGTATCACACAAGCCAAGGCTTAGCAACCTGGTGGCCAGACAGTGTCACACAGTAGCTCTCTTCATCACTTGCAGAGGACATCAACAAAAAATTGGAACTATACACAGACGAGTACCACAGCCCCAAGCAACCAACACAGTACCAAAATTTGTCCTTAACTTGTTCCCAACTTGTCCCAACTTGTCCCAACTTTGTCCCAACCTTTTTCCAAACATCCTTCGGCGGCAGTTCCAATGTGTGGGATCCAGATGCGAAGCATCTGCTCTTTGAGCCTTGTTATATTCACAGATAGTCCCAGATTTCCCCAATGAGTGGGATACAAACGTGAAGCTCTTTGAACATCCTCCGGTGATGGAAGTAACTTCTAAATATTGGGTCAACTTGTCCCAATTTTGTCCTAAACTTGTTCCCGAGTTGTCCCACATTTGTCCCAAATCACTTGTCTCAAATTTGTCCCAAACTTGTTCCCAACTTGTCCCAAATTTGTCCGAATCTCACTTGTCCCAAATTTGTTCCAAACTAACTTGTCCCAAATTTGTCCCAAATTTGTCCCAAACTAACTTGTCCCAAATTTGTCCCAAACTAACTTTTCCAGAGCAATCAGTGTGTCACACAGTGTCACACTGGATACCCCGAGAATGAGTCCCACTTCCCATCTTCCAACACAACATACAGAAGATTAGTTAGCATGGGCCCTAAGCAGCCAATGCCGTTGCCGGACTTGTCACCAGCAGCCATTATCACACAATGTCGCACCTAAACTTCAACAACCACTGTCATCAGTTTTTGTCTTTTTACTTATACATAATACTTTGCAATTACACCCTTTCTTGGTAAACTGGAAACAAAACGTGTCAGTCCTTCGGGACACCCGTTAAAATTGGAACGATACAGAGAAAGATTAGCACGGGTCCTGTGCAAGGATGACATTAAGACAAGGATTCAAGCAGCAAAAAGAAAAGCTGCCTAGTCCTCGACCAG